TGGGGAGCAATAGGGGAGTCCAGCAGGGGGTGGGGAGCAATAGGGGAGTCCAGCAGGGGGTGGGGAGCAATAGGGGAGGCCAGCAGGGGGTGGGGAGCAATAGGGGAGTCCAGCAGGGGGTGGGAGCAATAGGGGAGTCCAGCAGGGGGTGGGGAGCAATAGGGGAGGCCAGCAGGGGGTGGGGAGCAATAGGGGAGTCCAGCAGGGGGTGGGGAGCAATAGGGGAGTCCAGCAGGGGGTGGGGAACAATAGGGGAGTCCAGCAGGGGGTGGGGAGCAATAGAGGAGTCCAGCAGGGGGTGGGAGCAATAGGGGAGGCCAGCAGGGGTGGGGAGCAATAGGGGAGTCCAGCAGGGGGTGGGGAGCAATAGGGGAGTCCAGCAGGGGGTGGGGAGCAATAGGGGAGGCCAGCAGGGGTGGGGAGCAATAGGGGAGACCAACACTGGGTGGGGAGCAATAGGGGAGGCCAGCAGGGGGTGGGGAGCAATAGGGGAGACCAACACTGGGTGGGGAGCAATAGGGGAGTCCAGCAGGGGTGGGGAGCAATAGGGGAGGCCAGCAGGGGGTGGGGAGCAATAAGGGAGTCCAGCAGGGGTGGGGAGCAATAGGGGAGGCCAGCAGGGGGTGGGCTGGTGTGTGAGAGACGCCTGGGGAACCGAGATAAAAGCGAAGGACTGGGATCGATACCCGGCGCTGCCTTGTGATAGCCGCGGCTGCCTGTGAGGGGGTAAGGGGGGGGGGTGAGGGCCAGGGACGGCCCCTGGCCAGGAGGGGGGGGGGGGGGGGTCGGGCACCGTGCCGGGGGGGGGGGGGGGGGGGGGGGGGGGGTGAGGGACCTGACTGGAAGTGGTGACGTTTGGACAACCGGCCTGGGATTTTTTTTTGTTTTATTATTTTGTACCACAGACGTGGCCAGACATTTACAATGCTAACCAGCATATATACATTTTTTTTCTGTCCTAGATGGACAGGGTGAGAGATGTGTTAAACATATAGTTCAGCGGTTTATTGAACAATCAACCACAGAAGGTGATTGTAGTGCTTTAAAAATGCTCATCTAACCTACAGACATAAATACAGAGATACACAGATATACGTATTCCCTACATAAAGTGTTGCATAACAATAATGTACAATACATTGTATAACAGATGTATTACATAGTCAATCTAGGGTACAAGTCCAATATATCATCACGTGTTCCAGTACTCGTATAGTAATTACACAGTTCAGCATACCTTAGTCCAGCAGGGCGAAAATCAGTCAGTATCGGTTTGAGTTGTACTTGCCCAGTCATTGACGCGCTTCATTGCTGTATGTACGAGAGAAGATTGTTCAAATATGTTACATGCACATCCGGTACATCGTCCACCTTCTTCTACAGAGCCGTCGGTATAGCACTGATACACATCGTTACCCATACTCTGAGTACTTTCAGTGATGCTCTTCAGTGTTAACTGTTTTAATAATGTAGTGTGTACACTATCTTTCTTGGGCGCATTTACAAAATCAACTGATAGATCCCAGTTATCCCATGGAGTAATTGGTTGATTAATCATTAATTGAGTTGGGTACATATTTAATATTTTGATGGAGTTGGCTACCTTGTAGAACCAATATACATAATCAGATTTCGTTCTTCTTCTATAGACCTCAGGTGAGTGTAGCATATTAGAAAGTTTAGCTTGAAACTTCATGTGTTGTCTAGATCTACTCAATGCCTTCACGCCGAAAACTGTGCTAATGAACAAAATTCTCTCACTTATGGTAGGTAATTTTAACTCTGCTCTCATATTAACTATTCTCGTGGACTTTGGAGCCCCAAGGATGAGACGCATAGCTTCATTTTGCAAGGTTTCAAGAGATTTCAGCTCTTTGTCAGTATACAGTGTGAGATGTAGAGCATTGTAGTCAATCACAGAGCGTATAAATGATACATAAAACATTCTAGCAAGTTTCACGTTAATTCCATGATTGACACCAACAAGGACCCGCAAGGGCTTTAATCTCTCCCAAAGTCTCCTCTTGAGAGAAGAAAGGTACCCAGGGTCGTTAATGGGGACACCAAGGTATCTGTAAGACTCGCAGTTCTCAAGTGTTCGCCCATCTATATGATAATTGGGTGGTGGAATACCACATGGAATGAGGGCACGAGTTTTCTGTACAGAGATAAGGAGGCCACATTCCTCAGCTCTAGTAGCAAAAGCGTCGAGCAGAACTTGCATTCTAGGCTCGGTGGCAGCCTGTAAACATATATCATCAGCATAACAAATGACAGTGTCTTCATTATTAGTTGGAAGATCTTTAATAAGTTTATGCATCAGAACGTTGAACAACAAGGGACTGAGGACCCCTCCTTGTGGAGTTCCCAGTTCAAAGTGTTTGCTCTCTGTGCTTTTAACACCATTAAACAAAACATATGCTGTTCGATTAGACAAATAGCCCTTTATCCATTTCAGTAATTTTCCTTGTATTCCCAGCTCGGCAAGCTGTTCCAGTATGATTTCTCTGTTTGCTGTATCAAAAGCTGCTGCCAGGTCGATGAAGACTGCTTGAGGGGAAGCTTCAATATGAGCAAAGTATTCAGCAAAACAGTGTTGTGTACCGAGCCCGGGCATAAACCCAAACACATGCAGGCGACGAGTCATAATAATGTGGCTAAAGTATGTTGACCAGACCACACACTAGAAGGTGAAGGGACGACGACGTTTCGGTCCGTCCTGGACAATTCTCAAGTTGATTGTGTCATTCTCAAGTCAAGTCGACAATCGACTTGAGAATGGTCCAGGACGGACTAAATCCAAACAGTTGGGGTGACAGGTGCCCCTGTATACGATACATGAGTCGGTTAAGAACAATACGTTCAAGCACTTTGCAAACACACGATGTTAGAGATATGGGTCTATAATTATCCGAGTGTGGTTTGGGGATGGGAACAATGACACTCTTTGTCCAAGCATCAGGTAATACTCCTTCACGTAAACTCATTCTGTACAACACTAATAGTGGATTACCTGGTACGTGTGAGACTAATCTCAGTAGACTGTAAGTAATACCGCCCTCTCCAGGAGCAGTTGATTTTCCCATCTTTAGTGCATGATTTAATTCCCATTCAGTTACATCATTAAGGTCCGACACGTCGATAGCTGTACAGGTAAGATTGATGGTTCGTTGTCAGTTGGGGCGCAACCCGTCCTCGACTCAAGTCCATTACATCCAGCGGTCGACCCCACAGACGCATTCATCAGTTTAACCATACCAATCATTCAAAACAGAAATTTTCTCAAATGTAAATTGATATTATAATACATTAGCATATTGTGCGTATATAGGCATAGGATATTGTGCATATATAGGCATAGGTGTGTAGGTCCTGTTGGCGAGACCCCAAAACAAGGGGACAGAACCACGGGTGTGAAGGGCCTGCAGCCATGTCCTCAAACACAAAAGGCACATATTGACACCAAACAGGACACACACAACACAGACACCAACACCGACCCACAAACAAGAACATACAAATACAACACCAAAACAAGATACATGAGAGAAAAGTACACAAAAGATACAGAAAATTACATGAAAATCACAGAAAAGTACAAAAACACTGGAGCACCGGGGGGACACCACCACGGTGGGGGGCTGACAACACCACGGTGGGGGCTGACAACACCACGGTGGGGGCTGACAACACCACGGTGGGGTCTGACAACACCACGGTGGGGGCTGACAACACCACGGTGGGGGGCTGACAACACCACGGTGGGGGGCTGACAACACCACGGTCGGGGGCTGACACCACCACGGTCGGGGGCTGACAACACCACGGTGGGGGCTGACAACACCACGGTGGGGGGCTGACACCACCACGGTGGGGGGCTGACACCACCACGGTGGGGGCTGACAACACCACGGTGGGGGCTGACACCACCACGGTGAGAGGGGGCTGACACCACCACGGTGGGGGCTGACACCACCACGGTGGGGGCTGACACCACCACGGTGGGGGCTGATAACACCACGGTGGGGGCTGACACCACCACGGTGGGGGGCTGACAACACCACGGTGGGGGGCTGACACCACCACGGTGAGAGGGGGCTGTTTGCGTTCTGTTTTTCTTCTAATACCTCAGTGACTTTATCGTAGTGGTCAAGTAGCTGTGAGAGGCATGATCTTCCTGCTCTAAGTCCATGTTGGCCTGGGTTGTGAAGGTCATTGGTCTCCATGTTGGCCTGGGTTGTGGAGGTCATTGGTCTCCATGTTGGCCTGGGTTGTGGAGGTCATTGGTCTCCATGTTGGCCTGGGTTGTGAAGGTCATTGGTCTCCATGTTGGCCTGGGTTGTGGAGGTCATTGGTCTCCATGTTGGCCTGGGTTGTGAAGGTCATTGGTCTCCATGTTGGCCTGGGTTGTGGAGGTCATTGGTCTCCATGTTGGCCTGGGTTGTGGAGGTCATTGGTCTCCATGTTGGCCTGGGTTGTGGAGGTCATTGGTCTCCATGTTGGCCTGGGTGGTGGAGGTCATTGGTCTCCATGTTGGCCTTGGTTGTGAAGGTCATTGGTCTCCATGTTGGCCTGGGTTGTGGAGGTCATTGGTCTCCATGTTGGCCTGGGTTGTGGAGGTCATTGGTCTCCATGAAACTAGTGACCTGACTCCTGATCACTCTCTCAAATACTTTTATTATGTGGGACGTTAGTGCAACTGGTCTATAATTCTTTGCCAATGCTTTGCTCCCTCCCTTGTGTAGAGGGGCTATGTCTGCTGCTTTAAGCACATCTGGTATCTCCCCCGTGTCCAAGCTCTTCCTCCACACTATACTGACTTGTTGAGTGCAAGAGTTGCCATACGTCTTGAGTGCAAGAGTTGCAAGTCGTCTCGAGTGCAAGATTTTCAAGACTTGCAGAACAATGTTCTGCTCCTTGAAGAGGACTTTGAGGCAAACATAACTAACATCTTACAAAGCAAATAAAACAAGAACCACGAATGAAGGGAAGCATGATATATGCTCTCCAGTAGAGGGGAAGGCGGGGACTGTGAGCTAGCACTCGACCCACCAAGAACTACCAGCAACAGTAGAGGGGAAGGCGGGGACTGTGAGCTAGCACTCGACCCACCAAGAACTACCAGCAACAGTAGAGGGGAAGGCGGGGACTGTGAGCTAGCACTCGACCCACCAAGAACTACCAGCAACAGTAGAGGGGAAGGCGGGGACTGTGAGCTAGCACTCGACCCACCAAGAACTACCAGCAACAGTAGAGGGGAAGGCGGGGACTGTGAGCTAGCACTCGACCCCCCAAGAACTACCAGCAACAGTAGAGGGGAAGGCGGGGACTGTGAGCTAGCACTCGACCCACCAAGAACTACCAGCAACAGTAGAGGGGAAGGCGGGGACTGTGAGCTAGCACTCGACCCACCAAGAACTACCAGCAACAGTAGAGGGGAAGGCGGGGACTGTGAGCTAGCACTCGACCCACCAAGAACTACCAGCAACAGTAGAGGGGAAGGCGGGGACTGTGAGCTAGCACTCGACCCACCAAGAACTACCAGCAACAGTAGAGGGGAAGGCGGGGACTGTGAGCTAGCACTCGACCCACCAAGAACTACCAGCAACAGTAGAGGGGAAGGCGGGGACTGTGAGCTAGCACTCGACCCACCAAGAACTACCAGCAACAGTAGAGGGGAAGGCGGGGACTGTGAGCTAGCACTCGACCCACCAAGAACTACCAGCAACAGTAGAGGGGAAGGCGGGGACTGTGAGCTAGCACTCGACCCACCAAGAACTACCAGCAACAGTAGAGGGGAAGGCGGGGACTGTGAGCTAGCACTCGACCCACCAAGAACTACCAGCAACAGTAGAGGGGAAGGCGGGGACTGTGAGCTAGCACTCGACCCACCAAGAACTACCAGCAACAAGATGCCAATAATTTAATAAGGGAGCGTCCAAATTGAATTTCCTTCCATGTCAAGTCTCCAGAATCAAAATTACGGAAAGGGGTAATTTACTGGAAATCTGGAGAAGTAATTGAAGTTTGGGGCCCCTTCCAGGCGCTGACACTTGCTGCCTGTATCATGACACTTGCTGCCTGTATCATGACACTTGCTGCCTGTATCATGACACTTGCTGCCTGTATCATGACACTTGCTGCCTGTATCATGACACTTGCTGCCTGTATCATGACACTTGCTGCCTGTATCATGACACTTGCTGCCTGTATCATGGTGCTGACACTTGCTGCCTGTATCATGGCGCTGACACTTGCTGCCTGTATCATGGCGCTGACACTTGCTGCCTGTATCATGACACTTGCTGCCTGTATCATGGTGCTGACACTTGCTGCCTGTATCACGGCGCTGACACTTGCTGCCTGTATCATGGTGACTGACACTTGCTGCCTGTATCATGGTGCTGACACTTGCTGCCTGTATCATGGTGCTGACACTTACTGCCTGTATCATGGTGCTGACACTTGCTGCCTGTATCATGGCGCTGCACTTGCTGCCTGTATCACGGCGCTGACACTTGCTGCCTGTATCATGGTGCTGACACTTACTGCCTGTATCATGGTGCTGACACTTGCTGCTGTATCATGGCGCTGACACTTGCTGCCTGTATCACGGCGCTGACACTTGCTGCCTGTATCATGGTGCTGACACTTGCTGCCTGTATCATGGCGCTGACACTTGCTGCCTGTATCATGGCGCTGACACTTGCTGCCTGTATCACGGCGCTGACACTTGCTGCCTGTATCATGGCGCTGACACTTGCTGCCTGTATCATGACACTTGCTGCCTGTATCATGGCGCTGACACTTGCTGCCTGTATCATGGCGCTGACACTTGCTGCCTGTATCATGGCGCTGACACTTGCTGCCTGTATCATGACACTTGCTGCCTGTATCATGGCGCTGACACTTGCTGCCTGTATCATGACACTTGCTGCCTGTATCATGGTGCTGACACTTGCTGCCTGTATCATGGCGCTGACACTTGCTGCCTGTATCATGGCGCTGACACTTGCTGCCTGTATCATGACACTTGCTGCCTGTATCATGGTGCTGACACTTGCTGCCTGTATCACGGCGCTGACACTTGCTGCCTGTATCATGGTGCTGACACTTGCTGCCTGTATCATGGCGCTGACACTTGCTGCCTGTATCATGGCGCTGACACTTGCTGCCTGTATCACGGCGCTGACACTTGCTGCCGTATCATGGTGCTGACACTTGCTGCCTGTATCATGGTGCTGACACTTGCTGCCTGTATCATGGTGCTGACACTTACTGCCTGTATCATGGTGCTGACACTTGCTGCCTGTATCATGGCGCTGACACTTGCTGCCTGTATCACGGCGCTGACACTTGCTGCCTGTATCATGGTGCTGACACTTGCTGCCTGTATCATGGCGCTGACACTTGCTGCCTGTATCATGGCGCTGACACTTGCTGCCTGTATCACGGCGCTGACACTTGCTGCCTGTATCATGGCGCTGACACTTGCTGCCTGTATCATGACACTTGCTGCCTGTATCATGGCGCTGACACTTGCTGCCTGTATCATGGCGCTGACACTTGCTGCCTGTATCATGGCGCTGACACTTGCTGCCTGTATCACGGCGCTGACACTTGCTGCCTGTATCATGGCGCTGACACTTGCTGCCTGTATCACGGCGCTGACACTTGCTGCCTGTATCATGGTGCTGACACTTGCTGCCTGTATCATGGCGCTGACACTTGCTGCCTGTATCATGGCGCTGACACTTGCTGCCTGTATCACGGCGCTGACACTTGCTGCCTGTATCATGGTGCTGACACTTGCTGCCTGTATCATGGCGCTGACACTTGCTGCCTGTATCATGGCGCTGACACTTGCTGCCTGTATCACGGCGCTGACACTTGCTGCCTGTATCATGGCGCTGACACTTGCTGCCTGTATCATGACACTTGCTGCCTGTATCATGGCGCTGACACTTGCTGCCTGTATCATGGCGCTGACACTTGCTGCCTGTATCATGGCGCTGACACTTGCTGCCTGTATCACGGCGCTGACACTTGCTGCCTGTATCATGGCGCTGACACTTGCTGCCTGTATCACGGCGCTGACACTTGCTGCCTGTATCATGGTGCTGACACTTGCTGCCTGTATCATGGTGCTGACACTTGCTGCCTGTATCACGGCGCTGACACTTGCTGCCTGTATCATGGCGCTGACACTTGCTGCCTGTATCATGGCGCTGACACTTGCTGCCTGTATCACGGCGCTGACACTTGCTGCCTGTATCATGGCGCTGACACTTGCTGCCTGTATCACGGTGCTGACACTTGCTGCCTGTATCATGGTGCTGGCACTTGCTGCCTGTATCACGGCGCTGACACTTGCTGCCTGTATCACGGCGCTGACACTTGCTGCCTGTATCATGGTGCTGGCACTTGCTGCCTGTATCACGGCGCTGACACTTGCTGCCTGTATCACGGCGCTGACACTTGCTGCCTGTATCACGGCGCTGACACTTGCTGCCTGTATCACGGCGCTGACACTTGCTGCCTGTATCACGGCGCTGACACTTGCTGCCTGTATCACGGCGCTGACACTTGCTGCCTGTATCATGGTGCTGGCACTTGCTGCCTGTATCACGGCGCTGACACTTGCTGCCTGTATCACGGCGCTGACACTTGCTGCCTGTATCACGGCGCTGACACTTGCTGCCTGTATCACGGCGCTGACACTTGCTGCCTGTATCATGGTGCTGACACTTGCTGCCTGTATCATGGTGCTGACACTTGCTGCCTGTATCATGGTGCTGACACTTGCTGCCTGTATCATGGTGCTGACACTTGCTGCCTGTATCATGGTGCTGACACTTGCTGCCTGTATCATGGTGCTGGCACTTGCTGCCTGTATCATGGTGCTGGCACTTGCTGCCTGTATCATGGTGCTGACACTTGCTGCCTGTATCATGGTGCTGACACTTGCTGCCTGTATCATGGTGCTGACACTTGCTGCCTGTATCATGGTGCTGGCACTTGCTGCCTGTATCATGGTGCTGGCACTTGCTGCCTGTATCACGGCGCTGACACTTGCTGCCTGTATCATGGTGCTGACACTTGCTGCCTGTATCATGGTGCTGACACTTGCTGCCTGTATCATGGTGCTGACACTTGCTGCCTGTATCATGGTGCTGACACTTGCTGCCTGTATCATGGCGCTGACACTTGCTGCCTGTATCACAGTGCTGACACTTGCTGCCTGTATCACGGCGCTGACACTTGCTGCCTGTATCACCTGAGGTTGTATTGATCATGGTGCCAAGTGCCGGGAGCTGGTTGGGGCTCTACTGGGTGCTTACACTGGTTGGGGCTCTACTGGGTGCTTACACTGGTTGGGGCTCTACCAGGAGCTTACACTGGTTGGGGCTCTACCAGGAGCTTACACTGGTTGGGGCTCTACCAGGGGCTTACACTGGTTGGGGCTCTACCAGGAGCTTACACTGGTTGGGGCTCTACCAGGAGCTTACACTGGTTGGGGCTCTACCAGGAGCTTACACTGGTTGGGGCTCTACCAGGTGCTTACACTGGTTGGGGCTCTACCAGGAGCTTACACTGGTTGGGGCTCTACCAGGAGCTTACACTGGTTGGGGCTCTACCAGGGGCTTACACTGGTTGGGGCTCTACCAGGAGCTTACACTGGTTGGGGCTCTGATAGGAGCTTACACTGTAACAGGTGGGACAGAAAAGACAGATTTGCAATCAATAAGAAATGGAGAAAGAAGGAACAACATAGTGGGAGGAAAAGTAAAAAGGAAGGGAAGTGGAGGAGGTAAAGTGTGATGGAAGATGTAGAGAGATACCAGCAGCACTTAAATCACCAGATATAACTCCACTACACAAGGGAGGTAGTAAATCTCTGGCAAAAAAACTAATGACCAGTTAACTATAGCACTAACATTAAACATAATTATAGTTTTGAAAGAGTGATTAGAAATCAAATTTCCAGTTTTATGGAAAATAATGAGCTACACAACCCAGGACAACATGGATTTAGAGCGGGAAGATCCTGTCTGTCACAGTTACTCAACCACTATGACAAAATCACCGAAGCTTTAGAAGAAAAGCAAAATGCAGATGTTGTATACACAGACTTTGTAAAGGCATTCGACAAATGTGACCATGGAGTGATAGCACACAAAATGAGATCAATAGGAATAACGGGTACAGTTGGGCGTTGGATTTTCAACTGTGTCAAACAGAATGAATGCAGAGAGTGACGGTCAACCAAATAAGATCAAGCCCAAGTGCAGTGAAAAGCTCTGTACCTCAGGGCACAGTCCTTGCACCGCTGCTATTTCTCATTCTTATCTCGGATATAGACCAAAATACAAGTCACAGCTTCGTGTCATCCTTTGCTGATGAAAGCAGCATGAAAATTGCCACTGTAGAAGACACCAAAAAACTACAAGCAGATATTAATAAAGTCTTCGATTGGTCAACTGAAAATAACATGATGTTTAACGGTGACAAGTTCCAGGTACTGAGGTATGGTGGACACGAGAAACTTTAACAAAACACAGGGTACAGGACACAGGACACAGGGTACAGGACACAATGCGACCTACTCATAGAAGGAAAGCAACATGTAAAAGATCTTGGAATAATTATGTCTGACGACCTGACATTTAGTGAACATAACCGAGCAAATATAGCGGCGGCCAGGAAAATGATATTATGAGAACGTTCACATCCAGAGTCCCACAGCAATAATAATACTATTTAAATCACTGGTGTTGTCATGTCTTGAATATTGCTCGGTACTCACTTCCCTTTCAGAGCGGGAGAGATCTCTGAATTACCGGGAATACAGAGAACATATACGGTATGCTGTTATGACCCCAGGTAGCCTGGTGAAGCGAGTCTACCAGGCGAGAGTTATTCTGCA